CTCTAAAGTTAGCCCTCAATTGGCACAATTATCAGAACTACTGATCTCCACTCGGCCTACCAGGCACTACGTGCAAACAGGCTCGAAAATTCGTCGAAGCCTGACACTAAAACGACCATCATCAATCGCCACGTGGATCTGGACGCTCATTTCGAAGGTCCACGTGCTCGGCTCACTGACTTGAGCCCACGACCTGACCCAACAGCCGTTAATCGATACACTGGGCCATGTAGAATCTGACTGTCTTGCCATCCCCTACCCCAGACACAGCGAACCACTTTCGATTGCTAACAGCCCCAGCATTAGTGCACTTGTGGCAGTTCGCGTCTCCTTGCTCTCCGCCTCCGTCACGCTGCCTTCCTGTCCGCCTCAAACTCCTTGTCGATACGCTGCCGGGACGCGCGAGGCTTGTTACTGACCCCGCGAGTGCTCCAGGCCAGTCAACGCTGTCCCACCTCTGATTGGCTGACAGGCGCTAAGACAACGAAAGGCGCACACACGCGCTGGGCCTCAGTGCAAGGACCGATGGTTTAAATCAGACCTTTTGGTTCCTCCCCTCCCCTTTCAGAATTCGTGGTCACGTGGACGCGAGCTGATCAATTCATATTTCACATTGACCCAACTGTGAAAAACTGGGAGCCCCGGTGGAAATCGAACCTGTGGCAGTTCGCGTCTGCCTGCCCTCCTGTCCGCCTCACACTCCCTGTCGATCCACTGCTGGAACGCGCGAACCTGTTCACTAGCCTCGCGAGTGCTCGAGGCCAATCAACGCTGTCCCCCATCTGATTGGCTGGCGGACGCGGAGACAACGAACGGCGCGCGCACACGCGCTGGGTCTCAGCGCCTCGAAGGCGGACACAGACAACACAACTTGCCTGGAGAGCGCGCTCGCGGCGATTGCCTTCAGAGCCTTTGTGTACGCACTTCCAAAACAGTAAAGGTTGTCCAACTCACTCCGTCTTCCCTGACTTTAGATTGGGAATCTTTGTCTTGTCGATCACACCACTTTCGACACACTGACCTCTGCCCTCATGTTGCATCGACAACCACTATTCCTACCGTCTGCAGCTCCAGTGAATCGCCATCCCCCTTCCCCTCCAACACGGAGTCTCCGCCCCAAATCCTAGCATAGTAAAATACTCGCCCCCTCACCCACTAATTGCCTGTATGTCGGTGTCTGTCCTGTCGCGCCAACCTGTCTAGTCTGACTATTCCACTTTCTCGTTTGTTTATTAAGCCTGACAACGGGCTGGTGTACCACTCGATATTTTTCCGACGAGCGTTCACCTTTCATCATATTATCTCGGAAAGCACACTACAGCTATTCAACCTGCATGCATATTATGATAGATGGGCCCTCCACGATAAGGGCAGGGAGCGCGCTTGTTCTGTTTTGCCTTGGGGCTCAAGCTAGAACACTCACAGGCGGTCGCATAGCGACCGGTGATATATGTTGAGGAGTTGTACTCGTGAAGTTTCGAGCTGGTGACCCTAACTCGTCGTCGGTCAAAATGAGAACAAATGAGAAGGTTAGATTGTCACACAAGACCATTTGGAGCGACAGGACAGACAGACCATTGGCGTGTGAGCTTGGTGGTCACGAAGTCATAGTAGGTTTCTCAGTGGGGGGGTGTACAAGAGACGGAGCATCTACGGCACCCCGTGCTCGAACCGTGCCGTAGGAACTGCTGTCAGCTCAACAATAAGCACTACCAATAGGTACAGTCAGTTCCGATGGGCTCGCCAGTATCAAGACTACTCGCCGAGCTGGTGTTGTAGTGACCAGCAGAGCAGCTTTTTCAAACTATCAAAGTGAAAATTTGGCTTTGCTACGTAGATAACACCTTTGTCGTAGTAAAGAACTGCGAAGTCCAACGGCTGCATCAGAGGCTGAATGATGTCTTCCCAGCCAAACCTTTTACCCGTAAAGAGGAAACTGGGACAGCTTGCCGTTTCTGGACGTGAGGATACAGAAGTTGAGCGATGGTGGCCTCACAACAAGCATCCATAAGAAGAAGCCTAATCCTGATATTATTCTCTATTATGGAAGCAACCACCCTGTCGTTCACAAAAGCAGCTGCGTCCTAACGCTGTTCCATCGGGCCTACCGTTATTGCAACAGAGCCGATCTCCTCAGGAAGGAGCTTGCTTGCCTATACCGATTATTTCAATCTGACGAATATGCGATTAATTTTGTGAAGAACTGCTTTAGGCACCAGGCACAACCGCAAGATCCCGCCCCCAGTGGAGATATTGTGGCACGAAAATTCCACTCCCTGCGAAATAGGCGGGGAACCTCTGAAATAAATGTCCGGCAGTTAACTGCCCTGAGTATTCACGCTGCCCAAAAACTGGCATCCTCACTACGCGCAGAAATTACTCGAGTCATAGGGATCGACTCCTGGGCATCCGTATTAACGAACACAAATTAGCTATCCGTCGGCTAGACCCCCGGTCCCTCGGTTTTACCCATGCACACGAGTACGACCACCTATTCAGTTGGGATGACACTGAGGTCGTCGCCATGGCTAAAACAGAGCTAGCGAGAGAATTTCTCGAAGCTTCATATTACATTGCGGGTAGTATCAACCGCCATGTTAACCTGGACGCCATTTTTTAGGGCCTACATTGAGTGACCTATCTCATGAAATGTTGGAAGAAATTCTGGAATGCGTTTTCGATTAGGAAGGATTACTTGGTCGCGGTTGTGATACTGATTATCTTAAGGCATACTCTTATAACATTTTGGACTCGACAGGATGTCGGCTTTGAAATGCACTTCTTTTCAATCTCCTGTAGAAAGCGTGCTCGGTAAAAAAAATGACTACTTAATTAGCATGCATTTTTCCCATTGATTTTCGATGGTCTTGGAAATTTTAAATATATTTTACAGAAACTACAAACAAAAATATGCTTTCTTTTAGTCAATCAATAGAGAATCACGTCTTCTTTATATTTTATACTTAAGGAAGGAGTATAATTAGGATTTAAAAAAGTTTATAATTATGAGACTTTTCAAGACCGCGATATGTCCATTCACATAGCATCTTACCTGGCCGTTTACCACTGCTCCTCATGAAATGTACAACATGGTCCGCATCCATTGCAACATTTTATGGATCCTGTGTAATATCTCTTTAATGACATAGAAAAATATGGGATTTTCTTTACGCGGAACGCATGCACCTTGTAGAGTGTATTCACTAAGCGCTAATGCAACGAATGATCAAGCTCCAAATTTTTCGGCAATTAGAAAACTTTTTAGAACTCTAATTAGACTCCTTCTTTAAGTATAAAATATAAAGAAGACGTGATTCTCTATTGATTGACTAAAAGAAAGCATATTTTTGTTTGCAGTTTCTGTAAAATATATTTAAAATTTCCAAGACCATCGAAAATCAATGGGAAAAATGCATGCTAATTAAGTAGTCATTTTTTACCGAACACGCTTTCTACAGGAGATTGAAAAGAAGTGCATTTCAAAGCCGACATCCTGCCAAGTCCTAAATGTTATAAGAGTATGCCTTAAGATAATCAGTATCACAACCGCGACCAAGTAATCCTTCCTAATCGAAAACGCATTCCA